TATCGTTCATAAATATAAAAGGGGTCCCAAGTTATATTTCTGTTGACACAGCCTTGTCAATCATACGGATGAGCATATCTTTTTAACATTCTTTATCCTGTTTAGGATATTTTATCCTTGGAAATGTATGTCTTAAAACAATGTTTAAAGAAATAAAGCGTATGCTAACCTTTGTTAAACGTCCTCAGTATATAGAAGTTGAATGTTTCTAAGTAACGGTTTAATTTCTTAATTCTAAAAATGTGTCCATACTTTAAATAACAAAATGGATTGAGTGTCAAAGAGTTTAAAAGGGCTATAATTGCAACAAGAAGGCTTAATGAGAAACTGCGCTTGTTTTCGAGGCAGTTATAAGATCAGATGTGCGGGATGTATAGCATGCAAGACTATTAATCAAATAGAATTTAGGGATTGTGTATATTTATCCAAACCTGGGTATCGAAAATTTTCTTAGCTCTTGAATATCCTTCTTCTGTAGAGTAAAAAAGCAGGCCTGAATTATGTATTATATAAATATAACCGATGGCAAAAATATCATTATTTTGTCAAACAGCAATAAGAGATGTATAATCGGGTTTTTTAATATACATCATGTTTTCGCTCATTAAAAACGTACCAACATATGAAAGAATCTTTCAAAAGGATATATATGATATAACATTTTACTGAATAATACAAAACTTTAACTCCCTATCACATTTATCAACTTGAAACTGAAAATGACATCCATGATTTAGTGTGGGAACCTCACATTATAATTATAATTATTGCTTATTACCTGTAGTTAACTTCATATATAATTACTAGGTAATTATTCTTTAAGCATGTCGTCAACCATTTAAGGAATCGATTTGCCAATATACGATAAGCGACGATGCTTGGATGCATAATATATGCTTGGAAGTCATCAATAATTTCCTTTCCAATGGAAATATAACAAATAGGCATTATCTGACAGAAACAGCAATGTCTAACAGCTATATATAACTGAAGAACATATTAACATCTGAGACAGAATTAAAATGTCCCCAAACAAGGACCCGTCTTTCGTGTAATGTACCAAATGAACAGGCTCAGTATAATTCGCCAATTCATCTTGCAGCAAATTAAAGAACGCAGGACATTCCAGTATCTGTATAACTGTCTATACCTCCCTCGAGGAATGCCAGTAAAACACGAGATATTTGTTTCAATGGGGGCGTGGCAACAGTCAAGATGGCTACTGAGACTAAGCTTACTTGTTTGTTGGTAATTACCGAAGTTCAATCTTCTGGTGTCGTTTTTGTGTACAGCTTAATTGGGATTGTACGAAATGAAGATGTTCCAGGCTTCGTAGTGGTCTGATGATTTCGATTAGTGATTAATTTATAGAGGCGTTTCCCTGGACTTGCACATTGAAACATGCCCTCGAGTTGTATATTTTTGGGTGGTCAGTGAATATATCATTGAGCATTAAGAAGAAGCATCATTAGGAATGAGCACAGAATAAACAGGAGGGAAATAGAAATCAGAACTGCATGTATATGCCAGTAACACGAGATACAAAACGTTTGCTCGCAAGAAACAGAATATTTTATATACATTATTACTTAGTATGTCATATAAAAAAGAAATCAGCTTTTCAGAAATGTAAAAACCAGAGTAGATTCATAGAGGCTTATAATCACATAGAAGACAACTGCACATGCTCAGTTTTTTTGTCACTTACTATATTTTGCAAGAGGCTATATGTGATTAATTTCTGTTGTTTTCGTATGATGGCTAGATTCAGAATGATGGACACTTTTTGAGGTAACGACCTTCTTCAGAGTTACAGTAACATAATATAGAATCTTGTTTATCTGCAGAATGTAGGTCGATACTACCTGAGAAAGTTGGGTCCTTTGGAAGCGGGAAGAAAAAAAAAGGGACTAAATATGACTACTATTTCATATTAAAAATTATAATTTTTTGCTGATTATTTGAATCAGTTTCACTTTTATACTGAACACGGAGTTCCTAACACTACATAAAAAATAGAAAGAGTAAAAGATGCTGATATAAATATTCAGCCAATAAAAATAAAAGTAAGTACATATAAGTAAAGTAAAAATAGTACATATAATGTAGCTGCACCGTACTGAGTGAAAGACAATCAGTATAGTGAAACGTTACACGTGGCAGGCAGTGACGATTATGTTTTAAGTTGTCGTAGATTATGTAGCAGTTAAAGCAATATAGCATGACGTAAGAGAGAGCAAATCGCGTTCATGTTCGCCAAGTTACCATGACTATAATCTCTCCATCTACCTACCTAATGTTGACATGTTTATTGTGCTGTTATTGACCCCGAACTGACACATGAGTTTTTATAATTTTTTAACAACAATTTTTCGCAACAGTTTTCCAAAGGCAGTAAAAACAAAACAAAACAAAACAAAAACTTTAACAACAACTTCAAAACTACTTTTAGCCTGCATGCTATTTGACAATAAATTATAGCCATAGGCATTTTACTTCAACTATTGCATGAAGCACATACTGAATGACCATTTTCTCTTTTCATCTTTTTTCGAAAAATGGAGAGTTTTTTCGGATTTCTTCCTTAAGCTTAAAATATTACTAATATAAGTCTTTCTTAAAAGAAGTTTTGTAAAGCAAACTTCCATAAGCTATACCTGTATAAAAAAAAAGAAGGAATAATATGTGTTTAGCATTTATCCTTACAGTATATAACTAATATATAAAATAGTTCGCGCCATGCTGCTGTGTACAAGTTTAAGATCACTTTGATATTCCTCTTCAGTGGCCGAATAATTAAAGACCGCTATTTGGCCCACCAGTGGCCGAGCGGTAAAGTCGCTGAACACTGGTAGTTTGTCGGGGATTTAAATTCCGGCGAACGGACTGACTGACTGCATAGGCGCTTTCATCGTTTGGACACATGGGGAATACGAGCCAGTCTCCCATAGAAAGTCCTTGACGAAGCATCCCTCCCTTTAGGCAGACAGCCCTCGAGTGCTGTGCCATAATCAAATAAACTAAACTAAGAGAACCCAGGCGAACAAGCTGGATGTATGGTAAATTTGCTCATGTGTAGTGTGAATATGAGCCAGTTTCCTTTCGAAAGTCCTCTACGAAGGCATCCCTTCCATTAGCCAAGTAGACCTCGTGTGCTTTGCCTTAACCTAGTTTTAATGTAAGATTACATTTTAATATGAAGGTTAGTGTCCCATGTTGAAGTTGAAAATAAATTTATAAAAGGTAAGAAAGGAAATCATTTTGTAATACTTTTTATCCTTTCGTTTCCTCACAAATTTCTCCTTTTAAAGTTTTTCTGTTTACACTGATTCCTTATCTCTTTTATGCTGTGTTTTACACCATCTTCAGTTTCAAATTCTGCTGTAATGTTGCAGCTTTTATTGCCTTGTGCAAAAATGCTGTTTTCATAGCACTGAACCACATGTAGAAAAAAATTTAAGTATGTTTTTTGTGTATTTGGAAGTGTTCATAGCATGGCTTTCATGCATTGTAAGAAAAATTGTCTTTCATACTGGCATGTACAGCACACCGATGGATCAGGTCACATTTCTACCTCTTGTAGATAAATAAATGCATTAGAATAATCCTAAAATGTCACGATCTGTTCATGAACTTACAGGTGCGGTCAAAGTCTCACGAATCTATACTCTAGAAATCCACGCACATACGAATCATCCCCAGTCGAACATGTGATGACATAATCCATAATTGCATTGATGAACGAAAGTGATAGATGAGCTGTCACCTTACGCAACAAAACAAACAAACAGAACAGAAGGGTTTGCATATTAATGGCTCTATACACGAACTCATTTCTGGGTTCTGATAGGAAGATAGTTGGCAGACTGATGAGTGACAGCTGATGCAAGTATCGTGTTTCTGCCCGTCTTCTTTTTGCTGAAGAGAGCTTTTCAAGACTTGATGAATGTCAATGAATGTCAATTATAGTTTAGTGATTGCACGTAATATTACATATTTGCTTTGATGCGTTACATGGTTCTGCTGTATCAAAATTCTGAGTAGAACATGCATTGCTAAACGGCAACCACAATTATGTCTGAGATAACTGTTGCTATAATTTGAATACAAGAGTATTAGAAAGGTGGCCATGGCCCTTACTTCGTTAGAAATGAAAGCTAGGTATTTACTTCGAGTTACAAAGTGTCTTGAACTACGTTCCACCATTATATGAGAATTCACTAGAAACTATTGAAAACCTGCTAGAATTCTTAGCAGAATATATTTGTTCCTAGAATTTGAAGAATGAATGCGAGTTTTTCTCTAACATAGAGATTTTACCTAAAAGTCAACATCAGTTTAAGGTTGAATTTTACATAACTTTAAATTCTTTTTTAAAGAAAGATGTTGCGAAGAGGGCAATTGTTCCCTATTCCTGTGTAGCAAAAATTCCTAATAATAAAATATTTATTATGTTTAATTAGTAAAAACTGCAAAATTTTCTCGTAAATTTTGCAGAGATATGCTTAATAAGATTTTTCCAGTAAAATCAAATCTGGTATATAATTAATAAAAAATTTATTTTATCCATGCCGCAATCATTCATCGCTAAACTGAAAGTTTTTCCTTTATGTCTACTCCTTAAATTTGTTTCAAAATTCTAGAATTTAAGTCGGTAATGTACCTAGAAAGATGACCTGTATCAGTAAATTTGTTCCTTAATATGGCCACTTATTTTATGAGCTGAAGAAATTTCTATTTGCTTCTAATTTAAGGAGCAATTTTATTTTGCTTTTAATTAATCAAATAATAATGAATATTATTCTAATTGGAAATTTAACCCTTTGGGGAGCAAATACTAATTAAGATTTTATTTTACATACTTATAGTAAGTGCTTTATTTTACTTACTTACTTACAGTATTTTATTTTACTTACTTACTTATAGTAAGTATTTTATTTTACTTACTTACATATAGTATGAAAATGCTTCTATAAAATTCTGTGTACCTTGTTTTAAAGGATCCACCAGAGACTGAATGGATAAAACTGCTGAAAGTGATAGTGGACTCAAATTTAAACTGGATTGAACTACCTCTTTCGGGTGATTGGATTAACTGCAGAGTATTTTCGAGACTCCCCACGACTGTAAGGTGAATACGAATCAGTTTTCTATAGAAACATCTATGAAGATATTCCTCCTTTTGAAAAGATATCCTCTGCATGCTTTGCGACAATTTATTAAACAAGTAAACAAAGAAACTTTATTTTAAGGAACTATATTGATACTGTACAGGGTGTACCGTAAATGTTGCGATAAACTTCTGGGAAAGGTAGGCCACATCGTGAGGAACCCCATGCCCAGAAACGTCACTGTACGCCGCCAGGGGGTGCTCTACAGGAGAATGCTAGTGGAAAGTAAGGATTGCCTCATTCGAGCAATAGCCACCATACGAAGAGCATAGAACACTAAACGAACGGAGAGCTTGCGTACATGTACTTAGTGTATAGAATAGCTGAGGGTGATGGAGGAACCGCTGCACGCATTTATCGAGAACGCTTCTCCGACAGATATCAACCATACCACAGTTTGTTTGGACGTCTGCTTCAAAATTTGTGCGACTACGGGTCTTTAAGAAGTGGACTCATTTTGGACTGAATGTTCGTAGCCATTTGAACAGATCATTCCCGCATCGATGAACTGGGCGTGGTGGACCGGTTCCCTGGCCCCCACGCTCACCGAATTTATAGAGTCTTGATTTCTTTTTATGAGGAGCCATCAAAAGTGTCGTGTATCACGATCCTGTTGTGTCTGAAATGGATATCTTGGCAAGACTAATCTGCGCAGCTGCTACAATCAAAGAAACTCCCAGTGTGTTTGAACAAGTTCAGCAATCAATGGTCCGTTGTCGTCTGATGGTGTAAACTTCGAGCATTTGTTGTAACATTAAAGCTGTCGAAACACCATTTGTATTCATGTCGTCCAATAAATATTTTAAATTAATCACTCTCTTGCTTTCTTTCCCATCTTCTACCTCTGCTACCACTTAGACATTTCCGGGTATAGGTTCCTAAGCAATTCTTAATCTTAATGATGTGCACTACCTCTCTAGAAGTTTATCGCAACATTTACGATACACCCTGTATATCAAGGACTGATATCTTATAAAATAAATCTTATAGCTGTTCTTTTTGGCATACCCTCAAATACCATATCAGTACTTACATATTATTCCGTCGAACGTGAAAGTTGGCTACCATCGAGCCGTGGAAGCTGGCGAAGATCCTGCCAAAGTTGCTCCAATCATTCCTGCAAAATTCTGAAGGAACTGTAGCCTCTTTAATAAACAATCAGTATTTGACCAGCTTCGTTTTGTGCTTCATAAAAATGTCGCTTTATCAGCCATATTCAGTTCACCATATCTTGCCCATTAATAGGCACTTTGAACGTAGGATCTCATAAGTCGAATTTTTATTTTCTGTAGAAGACAGGTCCCAAATTTTAATTATTTTTTCAAAATGTAAGAAAAATACAACAATAGCAGATAATGTATATCCTTTTTCATAAAATCAAAAGGTGGCTCATCGAGAATCAGTGGAGGTTACATCAAACCAAAGCGCAGATGTTACGAGTGTGTGACAGATTCACTGCGGCCAGGATAATACGCAAGTACCAGTATGTCATAGACTGATATTATTTCAATTTAACATTTTCGCTTTGTGCGTCTATATTTTATATTATACGTGTTTGAAATACTTGCCGGGACGGATTTGATATTCTATTGATATGTATGAGTAAACATTCCTCTAATTTATTTTTATATCATGTGTTTCTATGGAAAGTTTTTAGCAAACCGGCCAGTTTTAGTATTCTTCTTTCAGACATTCTGCTGTAGAACAGTCTAATGCATTCTTAAATTCTATTCGTTTTTAAATTTTGTTTTACAAATTAATATAACTTTTAATCGTTGAAGATTATGTAAAACAAGATAGGTCTTGGATTCTTCAGCACAATCAATGAACTGAACCCAATTTAAAATTAGGCAACAATGATGTAAATTTGGAGTAAAATTCCATTGATTTCAAGGGCGATCAAACGCAGGTCCATCTTCTTCAGCAGAAAAAAAAAATTCCTAATTTCAGAAGAAGAAAAAAAATGGCGTATTTCTCTTCCGTTTGAAATTCAATTCACGCCTCAAAAATCCATCGTATTGTTAAATTATGGGCAGTTAAAGTTATTTGACTTAGTGGTCCAATTTTAAATGTACTTTCATCCAATATCGTATTCTTAAAGGTTTTTCAGTAAATTTATGTATTTTTATATTTGCTTCCTGCATGAATATTCTATTAAAACTGTTGTGAAGAGACTGCAATAATCAACATATTATGTCAGTTTTTAACTTATTTCTTCCAGTTGCGGGCACTAGCCATTATAGGCTTTGACCACTAATAAGGCCAGAAGCGCTGGTCACTAATAAAGTGACAATGGCTATTAGGGGCCTCCATGATAAATGGAGGCCCCTGATAGGTAAGCCAGTGTTGCTTCCTATGAAGCGACAGACAATTTTATATCTATACCTTTCCGGTGTTCGAACCTGGGCTCTTCAGAATGTCAATCGTGAGACCTAGACGGGAAGACCTAGACAGAACGATAGACCTAGATGTTAAACCTTAGACCTAGACGCGAAAGTCACTAATCACTTTCCCGTCTAGGTTTCACTTTAAATTTAAGGTGGCCATTAATTATATCAACTTCAAATTTGCTAGATTTATTTCCCTTAGCAATTTACACAATTTATTGGTTTTAATTAATTTTTCCCAATTTATTCCCATTGGCTGTCAATATTTAGTGTTTTTTTCATCTAATGGTGCACCAAAGAGGCTTTAGAAAACAATAACAAAATTTATTTGCAAGAAAAGTATAACAAACATAAATAGTTGAAGATATATTGTTAGGCATCTATATCTTCCACTTCTTACATCTTTAGCATCCTGCCTGCCACTGGCTAACGGAGAGTACACAGCGCCCTCTAGCCAAATGGCGCGTGAATTATGTAACAATGTTTACTTCTATGTTGCTTTTTCAAAGGCATTCATACTGCAAAATCTCTCCTTCGTTGAATAAATGTTGCCAAGCATTTAATTTCTGTATTATTATATTATAAATGAGCTAATAAGAGGCCTAAAGTTGCATCTATAAGCTAAATAAATGGGACCATTCCGATATACTTTGAGAGATGTCTCACATATCGCATAACAGCAATGCCACATGCCTTTTTTCTAAAAGGCATCTGCTAATCAAGCTGTCTGTATTTTTGAACGTCTCAAAGAGCGGTAACGTCTTTGAAACAACGTCTCAAACGTCGGTAACGTCTCAAAGAGACGAACATAATTAATGTGGTCATTTGCAGTAGTGACTTCAGTGGCTTAAATATATGATAAATTCCAAATTTGCAGTCAAGGTACTATATAGAGGTAATACGATTTTCGAAGAAACTGATTCTAGTTGACGTCGATTTTTTTGGAAGAGCGACAAATTGTCATGTTGTGCTAGAAATAACAATGTTATAATACTTTTGCCTTTCAGCTGAATAAAAAGTGTGTTGATAATGTTTCAATACATGGCTTTATTTCCCGTCTTTTCAAAACAGATAAGCCTGTTATGACGCTCATAATTGAAACCAGTTCTTTATTAATGTCTCTAGATCTCAGTTGCCGGTAACATGGTAAGGTTCTGTGGGAAAATACCACCCTGAGCTCATTGAGAAATTCACAAATGTAAGTGCCGCGTTGTTAAACATCTTTACTCTTCTACCGCCTAAGCTCTATTCGTACGTTTAGAAATAAATGTCTTAATACTTTTATGTAAGTACACACAGATACATTTTGTGATGTAGGAAAAAGAGTCCAGATAGAAATTTTCAAAGTCATTTTAAAATTATTATGAAGTAAATACCTCTTTCTACTAGTCAATTTGGAGACTCGGGTGTTGGAGCCTACTCTGGAGAGCTGAGAAAGAGGCGACATTTGTCGTGATGCAATATGTTGGATAAATCTCAAGTTATGCACCGCTAATATCACAATTATTTACCTCGAATATCATTCCTGTTATAAAATGATAATTTAAAACTTCTAACAAGTAAAATATCTTATATTAACCGAGATTAACCGAGTTGTACTTATCATTTTGTTCGTAAAATGCATAATAATTGAAGTATTTTTACACTAGAAGCAATAGTGTAAGGATCCTAAGTTTTACTAACGTTTAGTTTATTTTAAAACTTTAATATCACTTCTTATTTTCTACTTCCGGCCAGAATGAAATGCTTTAACTTGTTTATGCAAATTGTCTTGCTAACGCCCAAGTATTTAAGTTGTGGCTTTTTGCCAAGAGGGAGAAAGAAGGAGAGTTAGGAAGCAAGCCGTTTGCCACTGCAGTTCTACGAGTTTTCACTCGGTTGCTGGTTGCCTTTAAGGCCAGAGGTTTAGCCCTCTTGATATTTGAAAACATATTGTAGTTTCAGCAGCTCGGCGTACTACATACGTACCCTTTTAAATAAAGGCCAGTCTTAGTGCTAGGCATTTATATACTAATTCAAAATTAGCTTTTAGTTAGAGTTTTAGTTAGTAGTTTTATATTCTTACGTTCAGACACAAGTGGTTGGTCTCTGTATCCCAAAGTTCGGGAGTACCTGTAAAATATTGAAAATAAAGGGTTTCGTATACCCTTCCTGCTTGTGTTGTCTACTCCACACATTGTTGAACATAGCTTGAATAAGCTCCCTGTTCCTATTCAGGACACATCATGTTTCCAATGCAAATCAAGAGAAACACAAATCCTGACAATAGTACATTGGGAGTTTGGAGAAAGTAAAGCATTTGTTAAAATATTCATTCTGTAACTCTCCTTTCATTCTCTATCACTTCATTTCCAGCCTTTCGTCTACACTCTAAAGGGCCTACCAACAGCCGAGCGATAAAGTCTCAGAACTCTGGTACTTCGGTCCGAGGCTTGAATCCCGCGAATGGGCTGGCTGCATAGGCGCTTTTGCGGCTTTCCACATGGCAACGTGTACACGAGCCAATTTCCCTCAGAAAATCCTCCACGAAGGCATCCCTCCGCTTAAGCAGACAGCCCTCGAGGCTTTGCCGTAATCGAATAAGCCAAAACCATCTACAGTATGAAATACTATATTTACAATAGCATTAAACTGTGGGATGAATTTTTTAATAAAAATACTAAATACTATTTTTAGGCTAAAATTAAAACAATTTTTAAAAGTTTTATTTCTGCAAACTGCATAATTAACAGAATCGGAATTAATCTGGTTTGAAATCCCCTAATCAAAGTCTTTAAAAAAAATGGTTTAAAGGAAAATTTTGAAAAACATTCCATGTTAATCAAATATGAAATCAATGAAATACATCTCAAACTATTTATATTAATGCTAATTCGAAATGAGAATTTATCTCACTCGTAAATGGAACGATTTCCTAGCTCACATTTTACCTTGAGAAAAGATAATCAAATTTGCAATTACGTAAATGGAAGAGTAAAAGAGGATGTATGTTTCTGGTTTTTTCTTCCCCGAAAGAAATATGAAGATCGCCATTTTCGTTATTACAAATACTTATTCATAAGTAAATGCTTATGTTCAGTATAAAATATTCTTCGGAAGAACCAGTTCTCGAAGCCTAATCATTTAATATTGCAGATCGATATTAAAAAGTACTAAGTCCTTGTATTTATTTCGTTATGAATTATTGCGATTTTTCAAGAGGGTTACAGTTGCGGAGGCCCTGTATATAACCTACAAAATTATTGCCATTTAGTTTTTATAAACCACGATTAATAATCAAAGAGTATTCATGATGATATAATAAATGGAAGAACCGGTTCGCTACCGGCCCCTTCATCTCTGGCAATTGCTAAATCATTATTCTTGCTAAAAAATCTAAACTATAATTGGCAAGGGGAGAACGTAGCGACTTTTCAATGGGGCAGCCTGCTCTACCTACCATCGCTAAAGCATGATTTATAATTTCATATTTTTTCAGTGACAAATAGAATATTCATATTCAATTAGAAACTTCTCCTTTCAAACGCACCATATAAATCTTCGCTGTAACGAATTTCGGGGGTTAATAATTTGTGTTAAAATATGCGCGGATACTAAGCATGTAGCATTAAAGTTCATTTAGTTGTTTGTTCTATTATTATTTCGTACTTTGATTTCTGCTAATCAAATGTACTTGAATTAATTCGGAGAGGTTCGTAATTTTCTTCTTTATATATTTCAAGCTGCAATTAGACGCCTTATTAGAATGCATGACATTTATATCGACATT